GTTGGGTAGTAGTTATTTCGTTTTGGTTCGTTTTTTTTTTTTTTTTTTTTTGGGGGGGGGGGTTCATTTTTTAATCCGAATCGTTTTGTTTGTGTCTGGACATTTTACACGCATGCATCTAATTTGTTTGCCACGAATCCCCGCAGGCAAGGGGCTCGTGTGCTCCTTCCTTCTCTCTTGTGCCATCCACGAGATGGCGGAGCAACTGAAATACAAATACCAAAACAAAAAAAAACATTGGTCAAACAAACAAGACACTCCACTGTTACTGTGTCGTTGTGCTGCGAAGCTTTGCCACTTGATCTTTTTGTTTATGTATGTGTGTGTGTGTTGTTTATTCCCACTCTAATTGTTTTGCCGTTTGTTTGTTCCTGTGTGCGTCGGCACCGTACTTGCTTCGGGCGTTTTTTTTTTTTTGTGGTGGGGGCTCTCACACACATGCTGGGTGAAGTAGCTCTTCAGGCGCGCGAGGGCTGGAGGTGCCATGGGGACCACCATGTGTGTGCCGCTGCGGCGGCGAGAGGAGAGTCTGCTGTCGTACTTTGGCGTTCCAGTGAACGCACTCACCGTCTACGAGCAGCGGGTGGTGCAGCAGTCGACCAGCTACATCCCAGGCATTCCCGTCCTACTGCAGGACATTGCATTTTATTGGGACTCGCGTGTTGAGGGGGACGCCGGTGGCGGAACCACTGCGGCTGTGTCGCCAGACAGCATATGGATTGCCACTGTGGAAAAAACTATCAACGAGTTTGCGAGGAAGTGCAAATTTTTTTCGCTTCGCAAGAATACACATGTGCGCAAAAATGGCGGTGACGCAAAGAAGAAATCCTCCGGGAAGTACACTAGCCGTGTCTTTAATAAGCCCCTTCAGGCCTTGATGGGAAAGCGGCCGCTTTGTGCCCCACACTTTGTCGCCATATTGACGCTTTTCCTTCGCAAGCTACCAGAGCCGCTGCTGACCTCGCTGTATGTGCGCAAGATGGAAGATATTTTGAGTAATAAAAATTTAACCGAAGATGAGAAGGCCCAGGCGCTGCAGAAAGCAAGCCGTCAGACGTTTATGTCCACCCATCCTACAGAGAATGCTGTCTACCAGTATCTGAAGCAGTTGGTACAACGTCACCGTGCCGAATTGATTGCGGCAGAGGTGGAGATGTTGGCGCACTCAATGGCGCGAGAGTCAACGGAGCAAGTTACGGAGTTTGTTCTGCAGCAGTTGCGTCCAGTTGTGGGGTCTGTGCTGCCCACACAGAAGCGGGGGGGACTGATAGGCAACAAGCCTGAGTTGAACGTTTCCAGTGGTGTCACGCCAGAGGCTTCGGTTGATGTTGCAAGCGGCACTGAGGAGGCGCCGTATTCTCCGCCAGGGTCCCCACATAGTGAGGCTGTGAGGGGGGCACACACGTCAACACACGGCACGTCGGCTGGGTCGTTAGAGTCAGCTTCTGCACGTGCCACCTGCAGTGACAAGATGGAAATCGACGGGGACAAGAAGAACGAGGCTGACGGAAATCCGCTAGCGGAGGGGGAGACAGGGCAGGGGTCTGCGATACGTTACGCGGACTCCACCAATTCGTCATCGTCAAGCATGGCAGAAGAAAAGGACGAAGAGACAAAAACCAGCGTGAGTCGGGGCGGGGGGATTCCCGCTGCTTCCAAAGAGGCCAGCGTTGGTATAAGCCAAGAGACGAATTCGGGGAATAGTGCAGGGAAATTAGTGGCGCCGAAGGAGCGTCATGGCCAACCTGCTTTGATAGCGGAGGAGGAACAATGGGACTCGGCAGGGACAAGAAATGTAGAAACCACACCACACAACAAGGTTCTGGTTGTGGATTCCGTTCAGGCGACGAACACTTCCGGTGTGGTGTCAAGGCGTGAGGCGCGAGAGCAGCCTTCGTCGGTGGAGCAGAAGAGACAAAACACGTCCATCAATGATGCGAGTGGTGACGTTGCCGGTAGTGGAAGTGACGTGAAGAACAAAACCACCGTCAATGTTTTTTCTAGTCCGTGTGATGTTGCCAAACTGGAGGAAAAGGCCGTCAAGTGGAAGCAAACCTCACCACCCTGCAAATTCAGCAGTTCAAACCACTCACCACTCAACCTCAGCAGGGCCGTTAGTTCCCCGCTGCATGGAGGAGAAGTGGGGGGTGTTAACGGGGCTGAGAAGCAAGAGAAGGAGCTGCAGCAGCAGCAGTTGGTGCCGCGAGGGATTTCGTCGTGTGTGGGGACGCAGTCGCCACGAGCTCAACCGCTTGGCTCATTGGCTGCAGCATCACCTCTCATAGCTAGCAGAGACTTGAGCCCGATCGCTAGCGGTGGGAAACTGCCCCACATTGGTGTTTCCAGGTCATTGGCCGAGCAACATCCTCGCTCTGCCGCGTTGTTGGGGGCAAAACAGTTGTTCCTTGGCAAGCAGATTCTTCCCGCGAAGCAGGTTCAGCTTGAGCTCTCGTCATCATTATCCCTGATTGATTCGGTCGATGCTAAAGCGAAGGGCCCTGACTCTGAATTCCGGTCCACAAGGCAGGCCTCAAAACACACGACTGAGGTTCTCAATGGCGTCTGCGGTCAACCGCTGTCTCACGATGAGAGAAAAAGCTTTTTCTCTTACGACGACACCGATAAACTTTTTCGTGTGCATGATGAAAGCTTGATTCAGAAGGTTATTCAGCCACTCGAGGCGAAGCTGGATCAGTTAACAGCACGTTGTACATCTTTTGAACAGCTGTTGAAGACACTTGGGACACTGGAGCCGCCTCACCAGAGCCCACAATTTCGGGAGCAGGTGGTGGGTGAGGTGAGACTCCTGAAAGACGTTGTGCGGCAGTTGGTGGAGAGTCATTCTGAAAACGTGGAGGATATACAGAATCTTCAGAAACAGCTTGAACAACAGACACAGCGACTGGCGTGTAACAAGGATGAGGTGCAAGGCTGGCATGGCGAGGCACTGAGTGCGAAGGAGATGGCACTTGAAGCACAGCTTCGTTGTGCCGATCTGCAGAAGACCCAAATTCAGAATCATCAGACCTGCCAGTATATGTCCTTGAAGCTGAGGGAATTAGCGTCCAAGCTGGAACACGGAGAAAAGGATTGCCTTGATTTGAGAGTTGAGGTTTCCGCGCTCCAGCGGCAAGCTGTGCAGATGCGAGAGAAACTTCTTACCACTTTTTGAGAGATTGACGTGTGTTAGCCTCGCCTTGTGATGAGCGTCGTAATTGTGTTACTTTTCCTGGTGGTGTGTGTGTGTGGTGCGGGGATGGGGGGCGACAAAGACGGAAGTGCCCCCACCTGAGGAAATATCCACGCACGCAAAAACACACGGGAGAAAGCAAAGAGCGAAAAAAAAATGCAAACGAAGAAAGTCTTCAGCGATGATTCGTTTTTTTTTTAATTTATCTTTACGCTGTTGTTGTTTGTTTGTTTGTTTTTTTTTGCTTTTTGCTCTCGTTGCCGCCCTATTCTCTCCCCACGTTGGCACGCATTGATTAGGAAGGAGACAGAGGCCGTGCTGTTGACGAATGAAACGCTACCTCACCCTCGCCGAACTTCCGCGGAAGGAAAAGGAAAAGGTGATGCTTCTGCTCGCCGCAGAAGATAACACAGCGTGGCATCCAGTACATGACCCCCACCACAGTTTTTGCGTTGAGTGGCAGGTGAGCTCTGGCCATCCCGCATTATCGTTCTTGTCGCTGGGGCAGCTGCAGCCCATGCAGAAGGACTCGTCTCTGTCGTTCCGGGACCTCAATGCTGTGCACAATCGTCATGAGGAAGACTCTTTGTCGGTGCCGCGCGCAGTCCCACGGGCACAGGGGGGAAGGCCGTCCGTACAAAAGGAGTCGTCCTATTTTGCTGGCAGGGGAGCGGAGGACATTAGTCCCTTGACGATTGACGGGAACAACGGCAGTGGCAGCGCCATGGACCCAACCTCAAGTCCAAGTTTCTCTTATTCGTTTGTCCATACCCTCTCACCCCGTGCCGCCCAACAACCGCGAAGGCGAGTGGGTAACGTAAGCGGTACTTCAGCGAAAACTCGCCGTGGCCGAAGTCGGGGTCCGGTGGAAGATAGTCCTTGTGTGAGTGTGCGGTCAACGTTTCTTCACCGCCAGTTTACGCCCCAACGGTCAATGTTCACCCCACGCAGAGATTATTTGGAGCAGCCAAGCTTTCTTGGAAACAATGGTATAAGAACAAGGGAACGCACCACAGGGCGTGGTCTAACTGCACCCACTACTCACACTAGTACAGAATCGACAAGCTCCACGCTTCTGCGTTCCGCTCAGTGGGTTACGCGTCTGGTGGAAGACATTATGAGTTATGTTGCCAAAATGAACACCGTTGATCATCATCAAGTACGTTCTGTTCTCACTCTGACTGTGAGAGTCATGAAAGCTCGTTATGGGGTGCTTCATTGGAACCGCATGCTGAAGGAACTAGCGCAGGGCCTGCATAGATATCATGAGATTAGTTCACTGTGTCGCATATTTCGGGAGTTTTTTGTGGACGACTCGGACGCCGCCCTGGATAATTTTTGCCTTTTTTCACGCCTTCACCGGGCAGTTATGAAGCACGGCACCGTGGAGACGCAGAAGGTATCCCTTCCACTGGGAGGGGCGGATGACGGTGCCTCACGTTCACTCTTTCAGAGTACCATAGTGCTGCGCCGTTACGTTGAAATTCGCTTCCTGATGTCGGTCCTTAACGACATGCTTGCCGCTGTGACTCTCACTGAGCGGAAAGGCATGAACAACTTCACTGTCATGCGTCCAAGAAAGCTAAAACCCGCTGAAATGGTTGACGTGAAGACAATAGTTGCCTATTGGGTCGAGGAGGAGTCATCCAAGGCGGAATCGTTGGCGTTTGACCTTGGAGGATTTGTGGACCTGCACGAGGTTCTGGCCATTGTTGTCTCGGCGGTGAGTTTGGTGCGGCGTCGCAGTCCCATCAGAGGCCGCAGTGTTTCCAGGAAGGGTCGATGCGACGAGCGCGAGGATAAACTGCAAGAAGATTTCATTACCCCTGGGGAAAGGTCTGGTAATGGGCACGCCAATCCCTTTCCATACACCGAGCAGGCGCGTTTTATTATGCAGATGCAGCCATCTGAGGCAACGAACCCGCTGAGTTGGACACCAGAGATGAACTCTGCGCCTCCGCCGCCACCAGCAGCAGCAGCAGCAGCAGCGCCAGCAGCAGGGACGTCCAAGTCAGTAAGGCCTTATGCAAGAGGCCCCAACGTTTCTGCGACGCGGAGTGAACCAGTCTATGTGCCGATCGTAGAGCGCTATGGATCCGGTGGGGATCATCACGAGGCACATCAACGAATGCCCGCGGGGGTGGATAAGGCGCCATCGACAAAGGAATATTCTTGCGTCTGTGTAGGGGCGAATGACGCCGGTGAAGAAAATAGGGCTGGATATTTCACACCACCGCCTGCTGGTACGGTTCTTCCTCCGCCTGCTGGTACGGTTCCTACTCCGCCTGCTGGTACGGTTCCTACTCCGCCTGCTGGTACGGTTCCTACTCCGCCTCCCTCACCAAGACAGTGGCAGGGCGAGCCTCTCATTATCGATTTGGACAGTCAACCTCCCCCATCGGGGAGCACAGGGCCCTCAGCCCT